ATACTCGAGTTACTTTTTAAAATATATAAGCTAACGTGTTGTCAGGCCGTTATCAGAGTAAAATAGGCAAACGATTGCAACCTATTCGAACAAACGTCCAGTCGTCATGTAGCACTTTGGCTAACTCTTCTCCACAAGCATCCTTTAAGAACAGCATAGCAATGTGTTCGACATTAGAACGTACAACGACTTGCTTTGTTAACATGGGTCTCCTTAGGCATGCATAACTTCAAATGGCAGTTCTTTCTATTAGATTACGATTTCACAATGGGAAGGTTTTTCTGTGAGTACGAAATTTTTCCTTGTAGATGTTTTTTATCGTTTCTTGTCAAGTATGGAAATAATTTTTGCCTTTCCAAATCAGGTTTGCTTTAGTTATTTGTGTGGCACACATAAACCGAAGGTTCGACTCTATGAGTATCTGTATAATTCATAGCTGTTTGGTTGATGTAACCACACGCGGGTTTGCTATTGAATTTATTGGCTAGTATTTTGGCAGATCGACTTCTTCAGCGCTCAAAAGGTCATTATGATCTGCAACTTGTTCGAGTAAACGTCTCTGCGGCTATGCAAACGACGTTTTGAGGCTAGTTCTGGTTACTAGCTCAGCTGCACAACCTAAGGCTCACTTTTTGATAGTGCTAATGATGACTTTATTGTGTTAGCGGCAACTGAATTTCATTTACCGCGAATGCAGTTTTCAAGCAGTGATACGGCTGCGCAAATCGCACCCAAATCTCAACCTCCCGCGAAAACAGGGCATAAGGCAGGTTTAGGAACTAGTGATTACGCGCAAGTGAGGCTTTCTACAAACATCAGAGAAAGGTGCTTGTGTTCATACCCCATCAACTGGATATTGCGGTAACACAACGGCATTTTCAAGATCTACTGTTTACTTATCATCGTCTTTTGACGAGTTTCAGAGTCAGTTTTGCAAACTCAACAGAAATCAAAATAGTGAAAATCGAGTTATAGTGTAATGCTACACAGCAAAGAATATTTTTCATTCTTTGTTGTAGCATTACGCAATAATTCGACTTTCTGTACATTCAAAGAATTAGCTTCCTGC